TAGAATCGGGTTTCATGATCCCCCTAGTTCTTAGACACGCTGCCTTAGCATACGCTGTCCTAGAATCAACCAAGCATATTCTCAAACCGTGCATACCACTACCAATTAGAAAGATGTTCATTCAAAAGCAAAAGTACGTTGGTATATAGTCCAATTCACAAGAAAGTAAACAAAAAGAAAAAGGAAAGCCTAAAAAACTTTATTCAAACCAAAATCAAAAAGAAAGAAAAATAAGGAAAAAGTAAAGAAAATAAAAGAAAAATAGGAAAACAAAGATAGAGGAAAAGTAGGAAAATAAAGAAAGGAACAAAGATGCAAGTAGAACATGTAATTCCCAATCGTCAAACAAGTGGTCATTCGACAACAACGTCAATGACCCTAAACACTCTAAGGTGTTACAAGCATTACATCCTCAAACCATTCAACTTCTCCTAAACTAATCCTAATCTATGCATCCAAGAAAAGAGATAAAAGAAAGAAAATAAGAATGATCTAACCGGGCTTCCAAGCAATGCTAATAAAAATAAGGCAAAAAGTCTACCACCTTCATTAAGCTCCAAGAATCAATAGCATCATCAACAAAGCCAAGTGAGAAGAAAAATAGAAAATAGAGCTATAAACAAAAAAAAACGGTTAGTAACTTCAAAACAAAGTAAAAGAAAACAAACTTAAACAAAAAGAAACTACAAAGAAAAAAGCAAATGAAACTACCAAAAATAAAGTAAGAATAAGCAAAGAAATCTAAAAAAAACTAAACACTAAACTAGCAACTAATCATCTAAACTACAAGATTTGGATTGAAGGGATTTGGATTTTAGGGTTTTGGATATTAGGGATTTGGATTTGCGGGAGCAAACAACATGCATCATTATCTAAGGAAACAACACAACAACATCATCAAAAGAGAAAGAATAGAGATGAAAAGCTACAACAAACAAACACCATCAAGAAGAGGCTAAGGAATGAAACAATCAATCATTGAGGCAAGAAAGAGACAAGGCAATATCCAACAACAACATTGGCCACCGAGACAAACCCCTAAGAAAATCAAGTTCCCCTAAGCTAAACATGAATACATCTCAACATCCCTTCAATACAAAGAAAACCACACATAAAATAAGGGATGGAGGAACAATACACAAAGAAGGGGAACAATCTACCACTCGGCCCGGCATTATCATTGTCATCACTATCATAGGAAAACCCGGATAGGGGACCATAAGGATTCCATCCCTCAGTGTAGCCAGGTGGCCAACCATAGTGCCCTTTGATGTTTTCTTGTTGCCAAGGGGCAAGGGGAGAATATTGCTCAGGCAAGGCGAGCGGTAGCGGATGATCGAAGTGCACATAGGGGTAGTTAGGATCACCCCTATAATCGCTCTCACTAGGAACACGGTAATTGTAGTTACCGTGCTCATCGGGGAATGAGCGAGTCTCAGTGTTAGACCCCAGGGGTCCTTGCCAATAAGGACACCCACTTGATGGAATAGGACCAAGTTGGGGTGGAAAGTAAGGATAGTTAACCATGGGGGAGACATCCCCACGGTTAATACTAGAATCATACAATTGTTGTTGTTGGAGAAACATACCTTGTTGCATCTCCGAAATGCCTCTCATTTGATTATACATCGCTACAAAATCTTGATCATACATGCCTTCCAAATGAATTTGCATCCCCTTCATTTGCCTACTAAGAGCATCCATATCGGGCTTAGCAAACTCGTAATCTTGATGTTCTTGATGTTGTTATTGTTGTTGATGCAGATTTTGTTTATGATGTAGTTGTTGATTTTCATGAATTTGCCTCTCTTCATTCAAAACATCTTCTATGTCTTCATCCTCCCCGGGGATGCGATTACTAAAGGGCACAAACCAAACATTTGGGGCTACCCGGTGAATATAGGTAAGAGAGGGGTTCGGGAGATAACACCAATGAGAGTTCCTACAAAGCCAATCGAACACCTCATCATCATCATTACGAGCCAAGAATTGCACATGCTTAAGTTGAGCGGTGTCAAGATATAGGGTGTCAAGATCTCCCACCGGTGTGCAAGAAAGAAGGTACCTGTCATACCCAAGCTTCGTAGCTAACCTTGTGACCATATTACCTCAAGGTATATCACCTAACCGGTTGCCCCTCATGTCCATGAAACTCCTCAAAAATATAAGCCCCAAGTTTAACCGACCTCGATACTCTTCTCGAGTTGCTATCCACAAAGCCCGCAACTCTGGGAGCGACATATTTCCCAAGTCTTGGTTAGGGAACACCGAGTACCCCAAAAGTCTATGGAGCACTCTCAAACAAGGTTGATACATATCTCTTGCAAGAGAGAATCAAGCGCCGAATTGATCAAAACCCGAGATAGCTTTCCAAAAGGGATTTTGAGAGAAACCCTCCAAATGCTCATGCTCTCGGTTCGAAAAGAATTAATCCGCATGAGGGTTGAAATCCATGGCCACATTGAACTCGGCCAAAGACATGATGTGAACTTTGTTGAAGAGCTGGAAGGAGACCTCATAATCTTTGTCACCCACCGGAGTAATACTCAAAGAAGCCAAAAACTCCCAAGTAGTCTTAAGATAGGTTCTATAACTCCGAGTGACAAAGGTACTCAACCCAAGATTATCAAAGAGACCACAAATCCTCATCGATCCCCAGTTTAATCATGCTATGTTGATGGTAATGCCGTGAGGGCTTGTAGGATCCCTTTTTGAAAGTTAAATATAGAGGTTTGGCCGCTAGATTAGAGAAATGAGGTTTAGGGAGAGGAAGAGGCTCAAGGCTTTGTTTTTGAGGAGAAGAAGTGTTTGAAGGTGATGGCTCATTTGTTTTTCTATTTTTGGTTTTAGAAGTGATAGATTTTACAATTCTCGACATGTTCGCTTCACCAATTTATCACAACCACGATCACAAAACAACTTCACAAAACACTTCAACCACCAACACTACACAAGAACAACTTGACTTAACCAATCAATTTCACTTCACAATCAACACTACCAAAAATCACCTTCCACAATTCACAAAAATTTGGCACAAATTTGCATACAAGAAGCAAGATTGAACAAGTTTTGGCCACCGAATCCCTCAAGAACGAAAAGCCCTAAATTGCTTCAACAATGGAGGAGAGAGAGATTGGAGATTAAATGGAGGACATTAGTATGATTTTTGTTAAAAATGATGAATTTGTAGAAAGATTTTGATATTTTTGATGGAATTTGGAGGATTTGATGATGAAATTTGATGAGGAAAGATGTTAGGGTTTCGGTGTTTATCTAGAGTGAGAAAGGTGCGGTCGAGTATGATAGATAAGAAGGGGAAAAGAGAGAAAGAAAGGAGAAATAAAGAAAAATAGAGCTTCGGTTTGGCACGGTGCGCGACCGCGCACCTAGCTAAGCGCCCGCCCCAGTGTCGCACGCGGCTGCGCGAACCCTTGGCGTGCCCGCGCCCCTACTTGGCACGCCCGCTCCTCTTGACTTCTTTCTTATAAATTTGTGCTTGGTGCGTTCTACTGTGGGTTCATCATCCAATATCATCCCGGGATTATTGAACCCATCATAGATGGCAGTTTCAAAACATGATTACCGTGGGTTCAACATCCGCCAATAATGAGAGCACCACAATGAACCCACTCAGTTCAAATTTACTTCAAATTTTAGCATTCCCTAGCTTACCTCACTACATTACCGTACCCTTTTACCTCAAAATTTGATATATCAAATATATTCTCATAAAAAACATGAGACCTTTCCATTACTCATGCTTGCTCAAAATAATCCCATTCTCATGAAATTGACCTATCAATCCAAATAGAAAACTAGTGAAAGAAAAGAAATAACAAAAGAAAGAAAAAGAGTTAGAAATCTGGGTTGCCTCCCGGAAAATGCTTGCTTAAGGTCCTAAGCTCGACCTTTCCTCCAAACCACGGAGGGTAAAAAAGTAACACCTTATCCAAAGTGGTGGAGAGGGAAAAATCATTACAAAGCTTGTGCAAAATCACATAATGAACCATGTCATCTTGAATCATAAAAACCGATTCCAACTCTTTAAACTTCATCTTCGTCTTGTATTTTTTGGAAACTCTCTTTCTCTTCCTTGATTTCATCTTCCTTGAATCCTTGAGATCCTCATGTTCACCTCTTGAAAAATTATTTTCATCTTCCTTCAAAGAAAGCTCAAGCCAAGAAGGCATTTCAAACTCATCCTCAAGCTTCGAATGATCCTTGTCTTCTTCACTAACAACCTTGCTTTCAACACTTTTAGGAACATCATCACAAGCTATAAGCATGTCATTAGTAGAAGACACAATAATGGAATCATTAACATTCGAAGACAATGAGTTTATGCACATAATTCCTTGCACATAAGATAGAAACTCATGCATCGACTTGAGCTTAAAACTTGCCTTACTATCACCAACACACAAGGTAATCATACCACCTTTCACATATATTAAAGCACCCGAAGTTGTTAAGAATGTCCTCCCTAGGATGATAGGAATGTTTTCATCCTCCGTAATCTCTAGCACAATGAAATCAACGGAAGTAGTGAACTTTCCTATTTTGAGGGGCACATCCTCAATTCTACCCTTTGGGAACTTAATGGAACGGTCGGCTAATTGAAGGGTCATGTTGGTTGAAAGGAGCTCACCTAACTTGAGTTTCCTGAGAACGGAGTAAGGCATGATGCTAACGCTAGCTCCAAGATCACAAAGGGCATTTTGAAACAATTTCCCATTAATATTACAAGGAATGGAGATATTTCCAGGATCTTTCATCTTTGGGGGAAAGTCATTATGGATAAAGGCACTACAATGCTCCTCCAAACTCACTGGTTAAAGCACATTGCAATCTCTCTTACCGCTCAAGATTTCTGTAATAAATTTAGAATAGTTAGGCATTTCTCTCAAAACATCGGTGAAAGTAATAGAAAGATGGATTTTCCTTAGCATCTCGATAAATCTCCCAAATTGTTCATCCAACTTTTACCTATTGAACCTTTAGGGATTTGAAAGTATTGGTTTGAAATCCTCATATTGCTTCCGCTCTTTCTCAACACTCTTCTCATTAGAGCTATCACTCATCTTGCTAGACTCATCACTCATCTTTTTCTCTTGAACTTCCTCCTTGCTCATACTTCTTGACACCCCGTTCTCATTTTCCTCACTTGAGTCACTCCTCTTCTCATCCTCCTCACTCATCCTAGAAACTCTCTCTTCTAGCACTTTTCCACTTCTTGTGGTGATGGAATAAACGGGTTTCTTAAGATCAACTCCTTAAGAGGGTAATGAAGAAGGGCTAGCACAATCTTTCAAGGTATTGGCTAGTTGAGTGATTTAGGTTTCAAGCATCTTATTGTGTGTCATTATCTCATTAAACTTTTTGTCACTCACCGACATGTAAGTGTTCAAAATCTTGGTTTAATTCTCGATGATCTCCTCTAAGGTAGTATTGGAAGATGGGGGTTGAGCATAGGAATTATCACCATTACCTTGAGGTCTTGGAGCAAATCCGGGTGGGGGTCCCCTTTGGTTGTTTTTTTTGAAAATTACCCTTATTTTGATTGTTCCAATTACCCCGGGCTTGATTGTTGCCAAAATTTTGGTGTTGGCCACCAAAACCATGATATTGGCCTTGATTTGCATACCCTTGGCTTTGGTTTTGATTACTATAACCTTGAGTGTTAAAGTTACCTCAGAAACCATGATTTCCTTGGTTCCTATAACCACCATTGTTGTTGTTATCAAAACCACCTTGTTGGTTAGCATTGTTATTCCCAAAATTCCTTGGACCATCAAATCTCTGTGCATTATTATTGTTGGAAAAAGTTCACTTGCTCACAATCATTGTTTTCAACATCATCACAATTTTTAAAAGAATTTGGACAATTAGAAGAGTCATGGTCATAACACCCACAAACATCACAAAAGACACAACCACTTGGCATATTACTTGAAGTAGAAAGAGGAGTAGAGTTAGAAGGTGTACCTCTCCCCTTAATGTGGGAGGGAAGACTTGGTGCAATCGAAGAGTCACACTTCAGCTTGGCCTTGATCAATGTCATCTCCTTCCCCAAGTTCGAGACTTGGGAAGACAAGTTATTGATCGCATTGAGATGATCAACCGAATAGATCGTTGAGCTACTCTTGTTTGTAGAATCTCTCTCTCCCTCTTTCCAATCCATGTAGTGACAAACTACATTCTCAATTATAACTACAACCTCTTCCTCGCTCTTGTTCATGATCGGACCTCCTGCTCCAGCATCACGACATGACTTCCCTTGGGGGCACAATCCTGCATAGAAAATTTCTATGATTTGGTAAGTCAGGATTCCATGGTGAGGACATTCTCGTTGACACTCCTTGTATCTTTCCCAAGCCTCATAAAAACTCTCACTAGGCTTTTGCTTGAAACTTTGGATTAGAGTTCTTGCCTCAACAGTCTTCTTTTGAGGGTATAAACGGGAAAGAAACTCCTTAGTGACCTCATCCCAAGTTCTCAAGGAATTAGGTTTCACTTCCTTGTCTAACCACTCTAAAGCTTTTCCAATTAGAGAGAATGGAAACAGTTTGAGCCTAATGAATTCTTGAGAAACCCCATTGACGTTGATTGTATTACAATACTTCTTGAATTATGTAAGATGATTTAGTTGGCTTTCATGGTTGGAACCACTAAATTGCCTTAGTTCAATCATTGTTATCATTGCCGGCCTTATCTCAAAGTCATTGGCCAGTGTTGTTGGTGGAGCTATGCCACCCTTGAATCTATAAGTACCGGGAGTTCCCAACTCCTTCAAAACAACTCTTGGATTAGCTCCCATGCTTCCTTGATCCTCTTCTTCTCTTTCTTGATGAAATTCCTCTCTTGGAAAGCTTGGACTTGAAGAACAATAAGCAAACCCTATCCTTGTTATGGTTCTCTCAATTTCCGGATCAAATAGCACTAGAGTCCTTCCTCTTATCCTACGCATACAAAAACTCAAATCAAATATCAATAGCACGACTACAATTGTAGCCTAAAAGAGAAAAAATCTTTTTCTATTTTTGAAATAAAGTTAAATAGACTCAACAACAATAGCAAACTACTACGCCATTCCCCGGGAATGGCGCCATTTTTGACACGGGTTGAGACTAGGTCGTTGAAACTAATTCTCCCACGGTCAAAACTAAATTTGTAAACACTTAACCAACCCAAATAATAGTATAGAGGCAAATCAAGGGTCGAACCCAAGGGAATGGAGCGAAGTTCACTATTGCTAAAGTTAAGCTATCTCGAAGAGTAAATGGGAATGTAAGATGTCTAGATTCAACTAAACAAACAACGCAAACACAAAGTAAATCAATATTTCACGCACTAGGGATTAGGATCCACATATACTTGCAATGGATACAAACTAATCGGGATTGCGATTGATTAAGTCAAGTATTGCGAGGGAAAATCAACGATGCAATCAAAAGAGTATGCTAAGATATTCTCCTAGAGGTCTAACTAACACCAACTACGGGAGACTCTAGCAAGGAACTTCACAAACCAACTCAATCGACAAATGCAAGCCATAAATCAATTCTCTATATCAAAGTGAACTCACAATGCAATCTAGTGCACCAATCAAAGTTAGCTACTCTTCAATTAATCACATACATGCACATAATCAATTAACCAATTTAATCACAAGATTAACTAAATCAATTTTCCCCAATTAGTATTGATCCATTACTCATATATACTTCACCATCACCCTAGCAAGTAAACTACTCACAATCCATGAAAGAAATCAAGATCAAAACTAAGCTAATCAACAAATTCTTAATCATCATATTATTCAAACTAAATTCAATCACTAATCAATCAATCTCGAACAATCAACAAAACAATTGAAATTAAAAGCTAAAGATTGCATTAAAGTAAAAGAAATCATTACAAACTTGCTTCAAATCAAAGGAAAATCTACTAAGAATCATCAATCATCAATCATCAACCATGAACCATGAACTTCTCTCTCTACAAACTAGATTTTCTCTCTCTAAAATTTGATCTCAAAACTATCTCTCATTATCTTCTCTCTCTAAAAAAATTCCTTCTCCCAAAATTTATTCTCTCTAAAAATAGAAGAAAAGTCTATATATAGTAAAACTAACAAAGAGAAATTAGTTAGATCGTCCAAAATAGACACGTACAGGCGCGACCTTCTACAAGAGAGTGTCCGGCCGCGCAAAAATGGGTATGGAACAGGGACAGCAGGTGGCGCGCCCGTGCCAGGGCCACGCGCGGCAGCGCGACCACGCCATAGTCGCTCACGCCTGGGAACAGGGAAGCCCCCTCACCATCATTTTGATGCTCCTCGTGCGCTCCACTCGGTGCTCTTGATAAACACGGGACATGGCAGACCAAAAATACCCTCGATGGTGGATTCAACACGAGAATTTATGCCCCCACGGCTTGAAAGCACGGCCTAAGGTCAAATGGAACTTGCACTTCTCCATGCTTGAGCTTCAAATGGAGAACACTAGGCATCCTAATCAATGCCAAACTTGGGAAGGGGTCTCGGGAATCTTTAGATAACGACCTTATCCTGAAAAATGAAAGAAAACAAACAAATAAATGGGAAAAAGACAAGAAAAACCAAGAAATGCATGAAAATGGAAAATCAACTAAGTAAAGAGCAAACTAAAGAAATATAGAGCAAAACTAAGGAAAAAGGAAAGAAAAGAGCTATAAAAGCAATCTAAAATCATCCTAAAAGAGAACAAATGAAAGCCATAAATGACACTCATCAAATTCCCCTGAGCTAAACTTTTGCTCGTCCTCGAGCAAAATCAAGCAAGCAAGAATAAAGATGAAAGACTTATTGAAAAATGAAAAAGAAAGACATAAGAAGAGAATATACACTAAGACTCACTTTCGTAGGAATCACGGTTGTTTTTAGCTACAAAAACCCCTTTAAACCCCTAGATCGCTCTAGAGGACGAGTAATGGTCTTATAAGGGTTTCCTAAGAGGTTAACCCATAACTCTCAACAAACAAGCATGAGGCAAATATCAAAAGTAAAAGAAATCAAAAGAAAAGTAAAATCTAAAACCTTTACGAATTGAACTTTACAAAATGACTACACCTCAAATGAATAAAAAACTTTCTTAAGAAAATAGGGGTATGCACGTTCCAAGATATCCAAGGTTAATTGAAACATAAAATATGCTAAGCGTAGAGAACTAGTTATCACAATCCACCTTCATCCCATTTGATCTTACAACATTCTCCCTATAGTCTCAAATCTCCCTCTAATGAGCATCTCAATAGCTCCTCGAAGGAGCCGAAAAAGAACATATTTTAGGCTACCCGACGTCTTGACTTTGCATCCCCTCACTTTAGGCTTTAACTCATAATTCCCTTCCTCAATATGTGACTCAACCTCTAGGTTCCCAATGGTTGTAACGTAAGGGAAAAAAAGGGGGAGGGTAGGCTTAAAATTTAGAATTTGACGGTATTCCTAATTAGTGAAGTAAAAGGGTGATCAAACCTTCTCCTCATAACCAAGTAATCGCCAAACAAAAACAAACTAACAACCCCAAGCTTATTCAAAGCTATATCCACAATCATATATACAAAAAGCGTAAACGCTTCTCTCCCAAGCTTAAAGGAAGAATTTTCCTCAATGCTTGAAAATGAGATAAGAATCACATCAAAATATTTTTGAAATTTCTCATACTTTCAATTTATTTTACAAATTATCCAAAGTGTTTAAATTTGCTTTGCTTTTCATCATTTTTCAATTTTTTTTATCATTTTTTACTTTATTCATTGTTCTCGCCTCTTGTAACAATGGACGGCTTTTTCAACTTTGCATTTGAATGTCCTTGACTTTTTTAAACTTTGGACGGCTTTTTCATTTATTCATTTTCCATTATTCACAAGAAATAAAATTCACAAGCATGCTAACAAATAAGAACTAATACCCAAACTCGTATACCACAATCTCCAAAAACATGATCATTTGCTTCACAAAAACCAAAAATGGAACAAAAAGAAACAAAAGGCTCAAAGTTCTATAGATGTGGCTTGAAAAGAAGGAAAAGGGCTCAAATGGTTAGCGAGTAGGGAAATGTGAACCTAAGAACAAAAATAAAGAAGATTAACCTAGAAAAGAAAAATTACCACCCCGAAAAGATGCCTTTTTCCTCCCTTTATGGTTCGGTCTCGTATTTGAGAATTATGAGTCAAGATTCAATATTAGGTTTGCAATAGTCAAGGATTCATGCCGCTCACTCAAGTAATTGTAGAAGGCTAGAAAAAAAAATGTAAACCTCAAGTAATTCATCTCCTATGATACTCCTCCATGCTCATCATTTTTCCAATCTTTTGAGTCTAGCTTTGAGTCTCCTCATGATCAAATTGGTGGTTCATTTAAAGAATTGGAGATGAATTCTAATTTGGAGCCAAATGAGATGAGACATTTGGAGATTATGAGAAGCCAAATGGAAATGTTGAGAAGGATGGAAGAGAAAAATGAGGAAGATTGTAAGAGAAATGATGAGATGAAAAGTCAATTATATTGTCATCAATGTTGAATGTAAATGAAGTTTCTACAACTTTAGTAGATATGGATGATGATGATGATTGTTTTGAGAGGTCTAAAGTGTGTGAAGAGGATGTTAGATAGCCTACGAGTGAGGAAAAGGGTGTAAAAATTGTTGTTCCTAAAGAGAGTTTGCATTTTTACTAGTGGAAAAAAGGCCATTCGTAACGGGCAAAAAGGGCTCATCCGTAACGGGCAGCGTCCGTTATGTATTCGTCCGTTACAGATGGCCATTGTATTCGTAACGGGCACTGTCCGTTACAAATAACAACTTATTCGTAACAGATATTTCAAATGTCCGTTACGAATAATGGGTTATTCGTAACGGGCGTTTCAAATGTCCGTTACGAATAGTGGGTTATTCGTAACAGGCGTTTCAGGTGCCCGTTACGAATAAGGTTTTTTTTTATACTAAAATAAGTCCTTATACATAACGGACACCTTAAATGCCTGTTACGAATATGGTCTTATAGTATATAATTAAATACTTATTTGTTACGGGCAACAAAAATGCCCGTTATAATAAGTGCTTATTTGTAACTGACAACTCTCTTCCCCGTTACAAATAGTAATTAAATTATTTTTTTTTTGGTTAAATATCGGCAACATGTATTTATATATAATTAATATATATTAATTAAAACTTGTTATAATAAACCTGTTCCTGTAAATAAATAATTATATCGAACAAACTTTCGTAAAAATTAATACGACATAATATAAATATTTAAGTAGTAAAACATTACAAATAACAACTTATATAAATTTATCCAACACATACAACAACACTAATAATATTACTTTGTTCTACCTAAGCTAATAATTATGCATTCAATAAATATGTAGTTCTAAAGTATTGCGCCCACTGTTCCCGAACCACATTCAACTCGTCAACATCATACGGGGCTTTCCTTGGACAAAATCCTATTAAAAATAAAAATAAAAAACCATATGAATGAGGTTACAAAATAAAAACAATCATTAGAATAAATGTGATGGTCCAAATTATAGAAATAAAACTCAAATTATAGAAATAAAACACATAACATCAATAATTAACTTATATTTTGAATTGGCAAAAAATTGGCAACATACAACATTCGCAAAAGCAACAATATTAATTTTTAGGTGGTTTATCAATCTTTAGAGCAGAAGGCAACACCATATCAATTGGATCAAATTGAAAACATGCCTAAAGGGAATTTCATCATGTATCATTTGAAGAAGACTCTCAAAGTCCAAGGCCTCTATAAGTATCAATAGCATCTGAATCTTAGCACAAAAACAATATTTACAAGCTTCAGAAACACCCCCAGCTTAACAAAGTTTGATGATCCAGCTGTCATATCCTGAAATGCCATTTTTTGGTAAGTGAGAAAGCAACATATATATTCCACAATTACATTGAGCAGTAAGAGAACAACAGAAGGACCAACAAAAAAATATAACTTATACAGCAGGCATAAATCCTTCCATTTAGAAGCACTGCAAGTACAGAATGACTCATAATATACAAAAAATAGAATGTCCAAGATCAGGTTGGCTTCAATTAGAATTTCTTCACCCCACAATATGAAAAGATCAACATCCTGGATGCCATTGCCATCAAGAACACAGTAATGAGACAGAATCCAAGCAATAGATTATTAATGAATCATAAACTTAAGATCAGGAAATTACTTTCCTAATTTCACAATAAACAATCATGCAACGACATACCATGTGTTGAGGAAAAGATGATGATAATTGTCCATCCAAAATAGATATCAACTTGCTCTCTAGACCATCAGAAATGAGCTTGGAAACCTCATGCCAAATGGCTTTTTCTTCTTCAACAGATGATCCAACATTTACTGAAACATGATTCAGAAATCAATATTAACCACATTGAGGTTATTCGTGGATTACATATACAAATGTTGATGAGATGAACAAAAAAGCTACAGAACAAATGAAGCAGATATAAAGACATTGTTAAGGATATTAAGGAAGGATACCAAATCGAGAGAGAGAGAGAGAGAGAGAGGTGAATACACAATTAATGATTAATTGTACTCCCTCTTAATTTTATTACTTCTTTCTTTCCACTACTAAGAGAGAAGTAATAAATATCTTCAGAAGGAGTCTCAACCAATTTAAAAAATACACCTTAATCTTTGACACCACTAAACAGTTGATGATCAAACTCCAACATTAATTTCATATACTAACTTCCCTGATAAGTGAGAACACTAAATTGGGACAAGAGAAGGAAATAAAATAGTATTTAAGCACAAAGGTAGCAAGAGAATGTAAATTCACATCCGTGAATAATCATTTGGTGACCACATTTAAGTAAGCATTGCCTTTGAGTATAATATTGCAGCACTATCTTCAAAAGAGACAACAATAAGACAAAGTAGTCAGCTGATATGATCCTGCTTTACTATAACTGTAATTGTTAGGCACGACTACATTGATAATTACACAAACACGAAGAAGTGCACAACCATAAAACAAGATATAATAATATTACTCAAAGGTAGGAGAAACAACCAGTTGATAAAACATAATCTGCTGACAAATAAATAATAAATATAGTGTTGCATTCTATATTATCTAGGTGATAAGAGTTGCGTAGAACCCCTCACAGCTAGGGTAATGAAACACATTATTTCTACCAACACTCGATAAGACATAAGAGGTGAAAGCCTCTAATATATTGTCATGATTTTTCTTTATTTATTTGACTTAAGTAACAATGAACATTGCTAAAACACACAAGGGGTATAGCCCATGTGTAGGAGTGTTTGTCACATAACTCATAACATATCTTCATCAGCAGGCTACACTAGAGTCCATAATCCATATTCTAAGTGCACCAAACATTCACCAACAAAGTTATAAATAAAAAAAGAGGCATCAACATATTATTTTAATACATTAGGTAGGAAAACTACAGACCTCATGAAGAAAACCTTGCATGGCACCATCAACAAAATCACTTTTCTGATCCATCAACCTTTCGACAAGAATATACGACTGTATCTCATCTAAGCACTGCACAAAATAAAAAGTGTTTGATTATTACTCATACCTTGATTAAAATATATATCTTTCAGCAGATACATTTAGCATGAAAAACCCTACTATCATCTCTGAGTACTATTCCAGTTGACAGAAGAAAAAAACCAGGAAAGCCACTGCATGTAATAGAAACAGTTGATAACTGTAAAATTTAAGACTTGCAAGTAGAAATCCACTGCTGACCTACACAAATAAAAGCAGAAGATGTATAAATGGAAGTAACACAAAACAAAGAAGATTTATTCCAAAAGCTTTTGCCTTCATCTAGAGAGCGAACGGTCACTATATACACTTCAATTGAACTTGTCAACTTTCCAAAATTAGTAACAGTTTTTGATTGGTGAATAATGACATAATTTCCCAATATGCCACTCTAAGGCCCAATTTTCTTCACCTTAATTTTTCTGAACTGAAATTACTTTAGTTGAACTTAATTTATTTCTACTTATCCTAAATTATTTTACCGAACCAAACTTATTTTTCCAGATTCTCTATATTAGTGTTCATTAAAAATTAAAATAACTAATTTTTTTACTGATGAAAATTTGTTTTTGCTAAATTGGAAAATTTTACACAACTTGAATTTCTCTTACAATATATTATTCGAATGAAGTGAGCAAAACAAGGCCTAAATTAAGTAAAAGAACACGATATCACAAAGAGTTTTTAATTACGTCAAATCCTTACTTATTAATACATGACGGGCTCAAACATGAGATAATCATAAGTAGGCCTTGCACCAGCCCCATGTCAATCAACTTTGAATTGGCAGAAAATTAAACATAAATCAAAAGAAAGAAACTCTCAATGCAATGTACTAATTAAACAAAAAAAAAAAAAAAAAAAAAAAAAAACAAGCTACAAATCAATTCAATTACTCATACCAAATTGTCAGATTTTAGACGCAATGAGGACCGAGCTGCTTCAATGGAGAGAGATTGGAGAGAACCGAGCTGCTTCAATGGAGTTGAGGGAGCTGAGGACCGAGCTACTCCTGAAATATCAAATCCAATTCACTCCCATTTCCCAGCAAAATCAATAAATCAAATTAAACATGTAAAATCAATCAATTAATTTGGAAAAAAAAAAACCTATAATTATGTAATTGCAATTAAGTAAATTGAAACAAGGGTTGCGAAATTGGGGCTTACAGGAAGATTTGATGGGAATTTCTTGAGTAGGAAGCTAAGGGCGAGCTTGAGCTGCTTCAATGGAGAAAGTTTGAGCTGCTGTAATGGAGAGAGCTTGGGAGTCAGAGAGGGAGTCGCGAGAAAGCGCAGCTGAGGACCACCGGAATTAGAGGACCACCGAGCTTGAGGACCATCGGAGTTTGAGGACCACCGAGCTGCTTCAAGAGAGCTTGAGCTGATAACTGAGCTGCTTCAATGGAGTTGAGGGAGCTGAAGACGACGACAAAGCTGCTTTAATATTGGAGAGAGAATGGGGAAATAACATTTTGAGAGAGAGTGAGATAAGGGGAAATTAAAAGTTAGAGTTACTTCGAAACCTATTCGTAACCGGCAAGACTTGTTGGTTACAACTAGTTGGTTATTCGTAACGGGCAAGATTTGTTGTTTACGACTAGTTGATTATTCGTAACGGGCGGAATAATGCCCGTTACATATAACTACTCATTCATAACGTGCACCAATTTGTCCGTTACAATGATATCTTTTCATGCTCAAGTCAGATTTTTGTAACGGACATTAAATTTGCCCGTTACAATTGATGTAATTGTAATGGGAAATCATATACCCATTACGAATAGCTTGTTACAAATAAGATTTTTTCCACTAATGTTTGAACCTCCTTCCTAATTTGAATTTTGTTCCATTGAGCCTTTAGATGGAGTTGAAGAGAAACTAAAATTTTAGGCTTCTCTTAATGTTAAGGAAATGGTAATTCAAGTTATGAAGAATGGGACATTGCAATTTTTGAAGCGTGGAGAAGTTGTGAGGAAAGATAGTAATGATGAGGAGGATGAAGTAGTTTCCGTAGGAGATTGGATGTTTGAGGGTGATGAGAATAAAGAGGTTTTGAGTGTTGAAAAAGCAATTGGTGGGTTGATTCCCTCACCCCTCCTTTGATTATGATTTCATTCCTCCATTCTTTATTTCAAAAGTCAATCTTCTACCACCCCATCTTCTTTGCATGATAACCATGGTTGCTTTGAGGGTGAGCCATAGAGCTTAGATGAGTTTGATGTAGATCAGGTTCAATATGAGAAGGTTGAGGAAGTAGAACTTACTCTTGATGATTATGAAGATGAGAAGGATGTGTTTGGTGAGGTTGAGTCTCCAACTCCTATCTCAAATCTTCAACCATTGCCTTCCGCTTTCACCTTTGATGATCCCTTCTCTTCTAAATTTTCCACCATTAAGAGTATGAGACGGATGAGACGTTTTTAGAGGGAGATTATACTTCTCATGTTTATCTTGAGCTACCTCCCAAGTTCGACCCTCAAACCTTTGATGAGCTTCCTTTGAACTTTGATGATGATTTGAAGCTTTTAAGAGCACATTTAGGGTGTGAAGTATTTGAGGAGAATGTGATTGAGAATGATTTTAATTTGAATAATGATGAGTTGGAGGAGAGAGAGTTCACTGGATAAGAAAGCTTCTGTTTCAATGGATAGTGGTGTAAGTGAGCAATCAATTTCTATTATATTCGTTCACCTTACACCTCATTTTCAAGAAAGCTTGATCTTGTTCCCTCTTATCCCATGTCATTACCTTCTTTTCTCATATCCTCTCCTCTTGAAGAGCGTTTAGTCTTCCAAGTGCCTCATTTGATGACTTTTGAGGATAATGTGGGATTTCTAACCAAAAATATTTGGGTTTTTCTAAGCTATGCTCCTAAGGTAGTCGAGTTTCTAAGGTGTACCCATGCTTTTTCAAATTTCTAAGCTGTGCCCCTCAACTCACTACCATTAATGAATGGTACCCTCCTTGGGACTTCAATGTCACCTAAAGTTAACTATAAAATGATAAAAGGCAAGGAAATGATAGGAGAAAGAAATCTTAGACAACACAACCCTAATAACGAAAACTGAAGCCACGAAATCAAACTCAATTAACTTTTAAACAACTAATAAGGGTACATTTTAGTATTGTTAAGCAGTTGAAGGGAACGGCTTAGAAACTTAAAAAAGCATGGGTACACCTTAGAAACTCGACTACCTTAGGGGTATAGCTTAGAAAAACCAAAAATATTTTGTTGAGAAGAGAATGCCTTCTTCCTTTTCTTTTATTTCTCTTCCTTTTTCTTACATTTTTTATTTTCCCTTCTCTCCTTCCTCTTCTTGGCATACCTCTTCTCTACTCCATAGGTGTGCATTTAGCTTGTTGCATGCCTTCATTTTGTCATGTGCATACTTACTTTCTTATGAAATGTGTAGTAGTGCATTTGACAAGCTCTTGCGTTCGTTGAAATATTATTTACTAGTGTGGTCATGCTTGGACCTTACACAAGCCTTTCTCGGGATGTAACCCGTGTTTTATTGCTTTCATTTTCTTTTCTTTTTAGAATAGATTTTCTCTCATGGGAATATTTGTGTGACTTTTCCTAGGTACATAACTTGATATACTTTGGTGCATTGGTTCAGATCATGAATCAAGGAATTTTGCCACCTGTAAGGAGGGTGTGCCCATCGTAGGGAATCCTTCTTCTTAAATTCCCATGGCTCTTTAAAATTCTAGGACTTTACACTTGTTAGGGTGTATTAGAATTTAAATTCCTGATTGTTTTGGGGACCTTGAATTAGAATTGATTCTATCATTATGCTTTTTTTTGTTAGAAACAAGTAGGAGTAGCCAATGAGTTTTAGGAAAACTCATAAACCTTGTTCATGCCTTTTTCCGAAGTAGGGTTTAAGGGATATTTAGCACAAATCGAAAGTTTACCCATGCCTAAATTGGTCTGCATGTACCAGATATGATTCCGGGAGCGAGGGTAATAAAATAACGTTCCCTTTGGGGGGGGGAATCGCTATCCTAACCCTAGTACGGCCTCTACTAGCTCTTCCTTTTTCATAATTTCATCACCAAAAAATATATGCAATGAGATACCTAAAAATGAAGTTAGTTTATTTTATTTACAAGCATCAATCACGTAGGAATTACATTACAAAGGTCGTTATTCCTATTTAATCAATATTCGTGAAAATGACAAAAAATAAAAATGATTCGCCTTGACTTAGGTGATCAATCAATAATTAGTTATTTAATTCTATTGTTTATTTAACACAAGATACTACGAGGAATTAATTGATTAAAAGTTCGTTTAAACTAATCAAACAACACTAATTAATTAATTAAAAGTTATTTAAACAAGAAAACAAAGGTGGTTGATCTAAGTGGTCGGGAATTTACCACTTCTCCTTATTAGATCTTCGTTTAGAACACTTATGGACTCCTTCTTGTTCGGGAACGTCCACCGTAGTAACAAGTATTTGGAGGGGGGGGATGAGTGTTTAAGACAAGAGGGTTAAGAGTACACAAGTTCATAAAGTTTATGCCAGAGTTTTAGGTGAATTTCTGTTTGTTTAAGCCTCGTATTAAACCTCTATTGATAGGGAATATATGCATTAGGGTTTCCAGTATTCTGCCGCAGCAAGTGTCGTGAGCGTCAGAATGGGTTGCGCACGACATCTCGGCGCAAGTGATATAGATGTGTTGCTTAGGGCAGCGCAACTATATGTCTTGCGCGCGGTATTATGGTAAGATTAAATTTTATATTTTTATGAAATTATGAACCTTTTGCAAGCGCATCGCTAAACGCCGCGCTGGGTATCACGCGTAATCTTATGAGTTGCGTGCGCCAGACGAGCGCGACTCATTGGGATGCGCTCGGATTTTTCTACAGCAACATTGGTTTTTAACCAAGCGCCTCTAAATCCGTCATAATTAGCTTTTAACCTCAGGCTTAAGCCTAATTATGATCGGGCTTAGTTAGTTTGGACCTTAATTCATTTTATTTTGGGTTAGGCTAGTTATTTTGCATTCTTATGACTTAATCAGTTGTGCATAAGCATTCTTCTCGTTGATCCAACACAAAGACGGATTTATTTATCTTTATAGCACTTCCTGTCGGGACTAGAGGCCAAAAGTAGATGTCTACAGTTAGCCCCCACTTTGATCGATTCTAGAATAGAGGAGGTTCAAAGTAACCAAGGAAATAAATTCGAGACTCATTCAGCGAAGTTCCCTAAGAATAGAGAATCTTTCAGTAGTGTTAAGGATGTCAAACGAATCCTTGATTCGCTAAGTGTGTAAGACAAATAGCTATTAAGGCTAGAGAAAGTATTTTCTAGTCTTAATGCGCTAAAGAATCTAGATTGATCCTTTGCAAATGTAGAACGCTTTTACAAGTAAAGGATGTCTTGGGTGATGTCATGTCATGAGAAGATATCAGTTTTATAAAAGAGTAAAGAGGATGATATCCTCTCAATTGTGGCATCGTTGATCTAAAGTCCCTCGACATGTCATTGAAACTTTAGTCTATGATTTTAACAAATTAAAAGATGATAAAAGGAGAGTTGTTTCGACATTCGTAGTGTAACACGTGAATAAAGTTCTTGACACTTGCTTGCCAAAATAAAGTATTCAGGGTCCACAAGAAAGAAATACATGTCTCAGGACTAGAGGCATATATCCAAATCTAATGAGAAAATCGGCAACTCTCTCAGCAGTTTTGTCCACTAGATAAGAACACGTATCTCAAGACTGGGGTCACGTGTTTAAACAGATGAGAAATTGCACGTCGCTCTTTACACAGGGGGGGACGGACACCCCAACTGTCCAGTAAGCCAGTAAGCTCACTAACTACTACATTTGCTTCCATTCGAGAATATGCCTTGTCCTCGATGGTTCAGCGCGCCAGACGACTAGTTTAGCTAACGCCTAAAGATAAAAACTCTACCATTTTAGTTATGAGAGGTAGATCATGTTTTGCTTGGAAGAGGTGAAATTTTGCGCAACACCTACGCCATACAATTTTGCGCTGTGCGGTACGCCATGCAATTTTACGCTGCACGATACGCCATCCTTTTTGTTGTGGACGCCAAAAAGAAAGAAAATAACATGAGATTTGTAAAGTCAGTACAGTAAAATGACAAACCTATCTATGGGAGCTGTTACGTAAAGCATCACTACGGAACATTTTAAGACACGCTTATGAAAAACGTCCAAAACATATGCTTAGAGAAGGCACAAAGCACGGTGTGAATGCAGGATGATGCAAAAAAACTGTCAAAAAAGAAAATAAACTAAAATATCCAAAGAAAATAAAATGTTTCAATAAGTTACACGCCATTACGTCTAACAACGAGAAAAAACCGTTAGAAATAAATTAAACGGATCAAAATCAAAGTATTGGTCTTTTAGTGACCAGTATCCGCGCGCAACTTAGCGGGTTGCGCTGGTCAGGTGCGCGCATCATTTTGAATTGCATTGGGCTGTCACGTGCAACTTATTGAGTTGCATGCGACATTTAAA